ATTTTCCCTTTATTCAAATCTTCAGAGAGCTGTACATTTTAAATACAGAGCAAACTATTAAGAATTTATACAAAAATCTATAAATTTGAATAAGAAACTAGTATTTCAGATGTAAAAATATTTTTGTTACAAACTAAAAATAATAACTTGGTTGGTCAAAATTGTCAAAAACAGTAAGAGGAAGGGGTTGGGAACTTTAAAAATAATTATTTAATAAAAATTATTATTATTATTATTATTACTTTACTTCACTAGAGAGAGAGAGGGAAAGTGAGAAAGCAAGCCACCAGGTCTGGGACTTGAACTATATTGGCCATGTGGGAGTCCAGCACCTCAACCATCATACCACTTGCTAGTCTCAAGGGTTGGGACTCTTTTTTTCTCTTTTTAAAGTTTTTTTTTTTTTTTTTTTTTGCCTTAGGGCATGTGTGCTCATCAGAGAGAGACAGAGGCAGTGAGAGAGAAAGTGAGAAATAACCCCCTGGGGGGATGGCCACCTGCATTCCCTTTTCCATTCTCCTCCTAGGATCTTGGGCATGCACACACATATGCCTGACAGGATCTTGAAGCCATTGGGTCCAAGACTTGAACTGTGGTTAGCCACGTGGGAGTCCAGCGATGTAACTGCTATGTCATCTGCTGCGACCCAGGGGTTGGGGACTTTTGTCTTTAAAAATACTGAAATCATAAAAGACTTGAGAAGTGAAAGCTGTGGGGAAGTTTCCTATTGAAGGAGGCTACAGAGCCCTGATAACTGAAGGTCATCCCAACCCTAGAATGAACAGGAGAGGAAAGTACTGGAAAGGCTGTCATTGGGTCTACTGACAAATCGGGAATTTGAAAGCTAGATAAAAGAATAGCATGTGAGGACCAGCAGTTGGCATAATGGCTATGTCGCTGTATTCCCATGTAGTTGACCGCGGTTCAAGTCCTGGACCCGGCGGCTTAAACTCACGCCGGGCACATGTGCGTGCGTGCCCAAGATCCCGAGAGGAGAATGGAGGAGAAGGGATTGTGGCATGGCCATCCCCCCTTGGGGGTGATTTCTCGCTTTCTGTCTCTCTGTCTGCCTCTGACTTTCTGGTGAGCGCACACGCCCTATAGCAAAAACCTCTCCAAAAAAAAAAAAAAAAAGAATAGCATGTGTAAAATTTCTTGAAGTGGACAGCCGTGTAGTATAAGGGAATAGTCTTTTGTACAGGGATTCAGAAAAGAATGTGTGTGTGTAATTTTATCTTCTCATATACATAGTATCATGCCACATTGAGAGAAGGTAAGAGTGAATGAGACAGCAGATGTGGTAAGCTGTTCTCAGTAGGTGAGTCTGCACTTTTTTTTTTTTAGTTATTTGCTATAGAATACATGTGTTCACTGGAGACAGAAAGAGACAGAGCGAAGAGAAGGAAAGTGAGAAATTGCCCACTTGGGGGGAATGACTATGCTGTACTCCTTTCTCTTCTGTTCTCCTTTTGGGACTTTGGGCATGTACACACACACACATGCCTGGTATGCTTTTCAGAATGCTGGGTCTGGGACTCGAACTGCATAGTTGGCCATGTGGGATCCATCACCTTAACCTCCACACCACCTGCTGGCCCTGTGAATGTGAATGTTAGTAAAGGGTATGTTTCATTTCTTGCAGCCTTTCTCGATGTTTGCTTGGTTTCTCAATAAAAACTGTAATACAGCCTCATTGTGAACCCAGAGACACTCATCCACTTTGAGATATTTTTAACTTCTAATAACAAAATATTGGATATATTTATAACTATTAAAAAGCTCTTTATTCAGGAAATTTCTGCAGGAAAAAATAACTTTACTGTGTGTCTGAAACTAACCAAGCCCTGCTTTTCTTTTGAAGCTATTTTTTTTAAAAAATGTACTTATTTCTTCTATGAGAGAGAAGCAAGAGAGAGAGAGAGAAAGAGAGAGACACTCCTGACAAGGTCTTTGTGCCATGATACACCCCTAGACACAGGCAGCCAGGATCATAGGTACAGGGGAACCTTGGGGATTCGAACCTGGGGCCTTCTCATGTGGCTTCAGTATCACAGAGTATTGCATTACCTCTGTGCTACTATAGCTGGCCCAACTCAGGACTTCTTAATACCATTTATACATGTACATTACAGCGTTAGGTCAAGCCTTGATTATGGTCCATTAGCAGCTGAATTGTAAGCATATAAAGGTCTTAGAAAAGAAGATTATTCAAGGGACTGGCAGTTAGCATAATGGCTGTGTCACTGGACTCCCATGTAGTCGACCGCAGTTTGAGTCCCAGACCCCGTGGCTTAAAACTCACGCCGGGCGTGTGTGCGTGCATGCCCAAGATCTCAAGAGGAGGATGGAGGAGAAGGGATTGCGGTGTGGCCATCCCCCCTGGGGGGGGTGATTTCTCGCTTTCTATCTCTCTGGGAGGTGATTTCTCACTTTCTATCTTTCTGTCTCTCTCTGTTTGTCTGGCGAGAGCACGTGCCTATAGCAAAAACCTCTCCAAAAAAAAAAAAAAAAAGATCATTCAATAGGTATCTGCTGACTGTCACACTCTCTTCCAGGCATCTGGGCTCAGAAGTAAAGAAAGTCCTGTTTGAAGGACTTGAAGGGCTTGAAGACTGCGTTAGTCACTAACCCAGGGTTGGAATTCTCAAGTTGGAACTTCAGTTCTGCTTAAATATGTCATTTTAAACGTACTTCACTAAGACATGTCTTGTTTTCACCAAGGAACAAGAGATTGGCACTTCGTAGTTCTCGCCCTTAATAACTGGAAGATCTGTCTTTCCATCTTTTAGATTCCTGTCTGCTTTAGGTGATGGCAAGACTGTGAGGCAGGGCCAGGAGGATTGGAATAAGTAGCTTCTGTCTCTGGAAGTCTCTCTGACTCCTTTGCCTCACCAGGTACTGGGGCCTGCCAAGTGTCTGAGCACAGCTGGCCTGGGGTCCTTTGTGACCCTGCTCTAGACCCCGTGGTGGGCACTAGCTAGTAATTCTGGGCCTCCTACTCTCGCTCCCTTTGGTAAAGCACCTCGGCAGCTTTCTAGAGCCGACTGGAATGAATTGGATTCCTTTTCCTATTTAAAAATAACCCTTGCAGCTGTGGGTCCAAGTCTCCCAATCATGAGAATGACCCCGGCTCATTTGGAGACTCCTGGTCCCTGTGCCTCCAAGGGTCACTGCAGGAGGAATGTTCGACTTGGGGTTTTGGAGGCCACGCACTCATAGTCTTTCTCGTTATTGATGAGGACAATGAGGCCCAGAGAGAGGTGCAGGCACCCAGCTGAGGCAGAAGTGTGTTTTCTGTTTCCACTTCTGAGGTCAGCCCTTCCCAGGAAGATAAAGGGCGCTCAGGACTGTGAGTCCCTGTGGCTGCCTCCCCTGCTCAACACGGCTCCTTGGGCATGCTCCTGTTGCCCTCGTTCTGGGCAGACATCTCTTGAGACCCTTGGTTGCTTGGTTGACCGTTTAATGATTTAAGTAACAGAAAAAACTTTGTAAAATATACATAACATCAAACTTACCAAACATCAAACTTACCATTTAAAAATCATTTATTGAATTTTACTTATTATTATTAATTTTCTGTAGGGCACATGCACTCGTCAGAGAGGGAGAGAGGGAGATAGGGAGATGGCAAGCTGCCAGGTCTAGGACTCAAACTGTGGTCAGCCATGTGTGAGTCCAGCACCCTAACCACCATGCCATCTGCTGACCCCCTCGTCTTAACCATTTTTAAGAGTATAGTTTGATGGTATGAAGTACGTTCATACTGTTGTGCAACCGACTTCCAACTCCAGAACGTTTTCATCACCCCAGAAGGAAACTGCACCCGTTAAACAATAACTCCCCATCTCCCCTCCCTTCAGCTTCTGGCAGCCACCCTTCTGCTTTCTGTCTGTGAATTTGACTACTTGGGGGCCCTCATGTAAGGGAAGTCATACAGGATCCATCTTTCTGTGTCTGGCTGACTTCACATAGTGCAATATTTTCAAGGTTCTCAAGATTCTCAGGGAATATAATTTAAGGCTGAATGATATCCCTCTGTGTGTGTGTCTATGCCACATTTTGTTTATCCACTCATTGTTTGAGGGGACCCTGGTGTTATGTCCACTTTGGGACTGTCAGAGGTAACGCTGCTCTGAAGACAGTACTTTTCCTCTCTCTGTCTTCCTCCAGTGAGCGTACATACTTTATGACAAAAATCTTAAACAAAAAAAGAAGAGCAAGACGCTGTTGTTTGATACGAAGTGGGTGAATATAGAAGACTTAACACTGAGTAAAATAAGCCAGATTGTGAAAGACAAGCATTATACATGCTGCTCAGTGTATACTGATGATGTGTTTTGAGTCCGTGCTTTTGGTTCTTTCAGGTATATATCCAGAAGTGGAATGGCTCAATCATGTGTTTCAGTTTTTCAAGATAAACCTTGACTTTTGCATTCTTTGTTTCTCCTGGTCCATGTGGACTTGACTGTATGGTCAGGACTTTGTGTTTGCCGAGGCTGCAGCCCCCAGCTCTGGGTCCCCGGGACCTCCAGTGCCTTCAGCCTAGCTCTTAAGACTATCAAGTCTCCTCCCACTGAAACTGAGTGGAGAATTGAAAGATAACTGAAGCATATTTAAAGGTGCATTATAACTTGTCTTAAAAAGAAGAATTAGATTTGGTTTGGGGGCATCTTCAGGTTTACTGCTGAGGCTTTTGTTTCAGATTTCCTGTAGTTTTTGTCTTTCATAACTGAGATCTGGGTGGAATGCTTAAGGCTGATTTGACCTTGGTGGATTTTCTAACATGTTCCCAGTTACATCAAGGATATTACCACATATGTGATTTTCAACACAGAAGCTTACATTCTTGTGTCTGTTAAATGCTTTTTTCCTGCTCTCCCCCCACCACCCCATATAGCCTCTGCTAGCTATCCTTGTCCTCTCTACTGTTATGTCTTTGAATCTGTCAATTTCTGCCACAGAGTGCAGGCATTCACTATATACTGAGCATGTTGTACAACGTTCGTCTTTCCTAATCTGGCTTATTTCACTCAGCATTATGTCTTCTATATGCATCCACATTGCATTGAATGACAAAGCCTTGCTGTTCTTCATGGCTGAGTAATGTTTCATAGTGTATATGCACCACATTTTTGCAATCCACTCATCAGTTGTTGGGTACTCAGGTTGATTCCATGTCTTATCTATTGTGAATAATGCTGCAATAAACGTGGACGTTCAAGTGTCTTTCTAACAATGTTTCTCTGTCCTTTGGGTTTAAGTGACTTTTGACAAAGGGTATGAAACAATCCAGGAGTGAAAAGAAAGTCTTTACAGCAAGCAGTGCTGGAAAAACCAAATATCAACCAGCAGAAAAACGAAACTGGACCCCTATCTCTCACCATTAAGAAAAATAAACTCAAAATGGATCAAAGATCTAAATGTAAAGCCTCCAACCCTAAACTTCTTATGGAAAGGACAGGGGAAACACTTGAAGACATTAGAGTAGGTAAAGATTTCTTAAATAATACCTCTAAAATACAGGTAAACAATTCCAAGAATAGACATTTGGGATCACATCAAGCTAAAAATCTTGCACACAGCAAAGGAAACAGTATATAGAGTGACTAGACAACCCACAGAATGGGAGAAAATATTTGCAAACTGCTTCAGATAAGCGATTGATAACCAGAGTATATATAGACCTCAAGCAGCTCGCCTGCAGAAAAAGAATCATCCAAATAAACAATGGGCAAGTGAGCTGAAGAGATACCTCTCTAAGGAAGACATGTAAATGCCAAAAGCATATGAAAAAAATGTTCCATATCTCTTATCATAAGGGAAATGCAAACCAAAAACACAGTGAGGTATCTCTTGACCCCAGTCAGAATGGCTAGGATGCAGAAAACAAAGAACACCAAGTGCTGGCAAGTCTGTGGTGAAAAGGGAGCCCCCCTGCACTGTTGGTGAGAGTGTCAGCGCAGCCACTGTGGAAAACAATCTGGAGGTTCCTTAAAAATTCACGCATGGAACCACCATGTGACCCAGTAATCCCATGACTTGGTTATTACGTCCATAATTAATTTAAGTGCTGTTGGAGAAAAGAATATGACTCTTAGAAGATAGGAGAAGAAAGGAATCTTATTTTTATTACCTGTGTGACCTCAGGCCTTGGTTTCCTCTTTGGGAAATGGAGGTAATGGTATGTAACTAATAGGAATGTTATGAGTAATTAGGAAAAAATAGCTGTGGAATACTCAGCACAGTGCTTGGCAGTTACTCTGCTTAGTTAACATTAGTCTCTTCCTCCTTGTTTACTGTGGAGTAACCGGAAGCTGCGTGTGGCCCTAGACTTTTGGAGATGAGACAGCATCTGTGAAGAGCCCAGAGCAGGACCCGGGAGCTGGGTTCTGGTCTCACATGCACAATTATTAACTTCTGGGGCCATACGACCCATGTCCTGCATCTTCTTCAGGCTCAGATCCCTTACCCGTCGCCCAAGGACCCTCCCAACTGTGTGGCCTCCCCTGCCCCTAAAAGGTCTGTGACTCCCAAGCATGAACTTCATGCCTCATGTTCCTCTGACTGCAGAGTGTTTTCTCTTCTTCTTTTTTGTTCTATTTTAAAAAAAAATATTTTATTTACCTTTATTTATTTACTCTTTTTTAAAACGTGACCAGAGAGGGAGAGGGAGAGGGAGAGGGAGAGAGGGAGAGAGAGAGAGAGAGAGAGAGAGAGAGAGAGAGAGAGAGAGAGAGAGAGAGAGAAAGAGAAAGAGAAAGAGAAAGAGAAAGAAAGTGAGAAAGCAAACTGCCAGGTCTGGGATTCAAACCACTATCCACCATGTGGGAGCCCAACAACCTTAACCACCACTCCACCTGCCGGCCCCGAGTATTCTTTCTTTTGTTCTCTGCAGGTAGTGGGTACATCTCTGGTACGTGACGTGAGTGAGAGGTGGAATTTCTGACATTCTGAGACCCACTTCTTCAGAACCAGAATTTCCTGTCCCAGCTTAGTGTGAGGTTTCTCCCCTAGCCCAGAATCCCACTACCTGTGAGGAATCACCAAGCCCCAGAGGCCCTTCAACGCACAGCAAGGCAAGGGATTGGAGATGTGATTTTTGCTCAGTGATAGAACGAAGCTGTCTATACTTGACCTTGTCTTTATTACGTAGTTATCAATCTTCATTTTTTCCCAGAGAGGACAGCCAGGTTCTGATGTCTTTTTCTTCCTATCGTTTATTTTTAAACAAGATTTATTTATTTATTTATTCTATGAGTGAGAGAAACAGAGACAGAGAGACAGCACCTTCAATGCTGTAACCAGCCCAGTCTCAGCCAGCCCTGCATTACGGGCATGTGTGCCCAGAGAACTCAGGGAGGTTCTGGGTATGATTCTGGAACCTTCCCCTGGGGGAAAGGCTCACAGAATTTTATTTATTTTTTTAAGAGATTTTTACTATACATCACATGCACTCACCTGAGAGACAAAGAGAGACAGAGAGACAAAAAGTGAGAAATCTTCCCCTGTGGGGATGGCCACGCTGCAATTCCTTTTGCTCCTCTTGGGATTTGGGGCATGTATGCACATGTGCCCAGTGTGAGTTTCAAGCTGCTGGTCTGGGACTTGAACCCCATTCAACTACATGGGAGTCCAGCGACGTAGCCATTATGCCATCTGCCAGTCCCAGAATATCATGTTTTATGATATGCTGCGCCACCGTTTGGCCTCAAATCTTCCTTTAAAAAATATTGCTTATTAGTACTACAGTAATGACCGTACCATATTTTTATAAATTAGATTGCCCATTTTTTTAGAGAGAGATAGATTTGGGCTATAGGGCATATGTGCTCACAGGAGAGACTGCGAGAGACAGAAAGCGAGAAATCACCCCCTGGTAGGGTGGCCTTTTTCTCTATTCTCCTCTTGGGATTTTTGGCATGCTTGTACACGCTCCTGGTGTGAGTTTTATAAGCCACCAGGTCTGAGACTCGAACCGTGGTCCACTATGTGGGAGTCCAGCACCATAACCATTACACCATCTGTTGGCCCCTAGATTGTACGTTTGGTGCTTTTACTTCCTTTGCTTCACTTGATCCGCATATCAATGTTTGTCTAGACCACTTGATACCCTATTTTGCAAATGAGGCCTAGTTTACAAAGAACACTGGTTATCTTGTATTTTCTTCCTGTAATGCTAATCAGCCAGCAATGCTCGCTTAAGAAGTATTTATGGAAAGTTTAAGTGCCCAATAGAGATGCTTTTGGTAGAGAATTCTTACCAAAAAGTCATTACAACCTAATAGAGTCTTTAGGGGAGGATGAAATTTCCATTGGTTATCCTTTGGTAACACTAGTTAATAAAAAGTCTGGGAGAGGGAGTCAGCAAATGGTGTGGGGGTTAAGGCAGCCAGATCTCACATGGCTGGTTGGTGGTACAATTCACACCTAGTTGAAAAACATGCTAGGTGCATGTATGTGCATGGATGCCCAGAATCCTGAGACAAGAATGGAGGAGAAAGGGTTACAATGAAGCCATTCACCTTGGGGAATGCTTTCTCACTTTCCCTTTCTCTGTCTCTGGCGAGTACACGCACCCTGCAGTACAAATTATAAAAAGAACGTGTCTGAAGGGGAAGGTTTGAACTCAAGTGAGATTTGAGGATAGCTCTAGTGTTCGAGTACTGGCTACTCTGCCTGATTCTGGCATTAAAGAAAGGCAACAGTTTTTAAAAATGTGTTTACATACTCCTAAACCTCTGGGCTCCGCATCCTATTGCTACACTGAGCCTGCTCTCTGTAAGCTACTTCACACTGTAGTGAGGTGTAAAGAGACAGGAAACGTTGCCTAACATGCATTATTTCTGATCTCGCGGGCACGCGGTTTGGGGTTGCCTTGTGCAGAGGATCACTGGAAGGATGGTCACAGGCTGACCCAGGACTTTAAAAATACATGACATTGGGCCCAGCAGTTGGTGTAATGGCTATGTTGCTGGACTCCCATGTAGCCGACCGCGGTTTGAGTCCCGGACCTGGTGGCTTAAATTCACTCTGGGCATGTGTGCGTGCGTGACCAAGATCCCGAGAGGAGAATAGAGGAGAAGGGATTGCGGCGTGGCCAACCCCCCTGGGGAGTGATTTCTCACTTTCTGCTATCTCTCTGTCTCTCTCTGTCTTTCTGGATAGCAAAAACCCCCTATAGCAAAAACCTCCCCAAAAAAAAAAAAAATACATGACATTTTGATTGATGAGCTTGGACCATGGTGTGTGGACATACAACTGTGGAAAGAGACTTTTATGTGTATGTGAATGTCTATATGTGTATATAACTTTAAAAAAATATTTGTTTATTTGCATTAGAGGGTATGTATGCAAGACAGGAAGAGAGTGGGAAAGAGAGGAGAAGGCACCTTCCAGAGGTCATGGTCACATCTCAGTCTCTTCTCCATCTCTAACTCCTTGGGATTCTGGGCATGTACTCACGCACACCCAGCGTATTCTCAAGCCACCAAGTCTAGGACTCGAACCATATGGTCAGCCACGTGGAATCTAAACCACAGAGATGGCTCTTCTTTCCTTTTTGTAAGTTTATTTCTTCTGAGAGAGAGAAACAGAAGGAGAAAGACAAGGACTCCCAGCAGGCTCTAGACACTGCAGTCCACCCCTAGCATCAGTGGCCTCACACCATGGGCAGGTGTATGCCCGGTGCACTTGGGAAGGTCTTCGGACACAAACCTGGACTCTTCGCCTGTGGGTCAGCCATACAGGGTTGTGTTCCAGTGTGTCCTGAATCTGTAAGGATGGTGTTCAAAGCTGGGTGCAAAGACGTGGAAAATGTGATGTTTTCTGTAATTCCCCTTTAACGGTTTGTGGTGTGTACTCTCCGAAGGGAGTGGCTGTGAGCAGCCGGCTCAGGAATGTGGGATCGTGGTGTCAGAATCTGCACTCTGGCCCCGCTGCCCGGGGTTCTGTAGGTGCTGCTTTGCTGGATCTCGATGTCCAGCAGCATGAGAGCTTCATGTTACAGGAGTGGCCGGAAGGCTGGCTGGCTGTTTGTTTGATGACTACAATTGTCATGGGAGACTGCTTGCTTTTTAAACAAGCATAAAAATATCATTTGCTCAGAGGAAATTGATATGCACACGAATGTCATGAACCTTAGTGTTCTTCGACTGTTTGTCTGCACCGTAGTTGAGCAGGTGAAAAAGCTTAGTTCTGAGCCCCTGAGCAGGTGAAACAGGCTCCTTTTGGGGGCCCTGATGGTGGGGCAAGCCCTACCATATCTCCAAAAGATTCCTGCCCAGTGAGTGCCTTTCTGCAACTCTCTGGCTCTCATATTTTTCTGTAGCTTCCAAGTGATGATGTGCAGGTACTCCCAGCCCTTGCAGGTGGTTGACCTGGGCTGTGTACCAAATTTGGGACCTAACCCTTAAGAAGGCTGGGGGAGAAAAGTCATGTCGGGACTGGTCCTCAAATTCATTTGCTCGTGGTGGGGCTTCTGATGTTCTCTGCTCCTTGGGGGTTACTGACCTTCTGCCGGCTGAGGGTTTACTTAGAGTCCTTGCCGAGTCTCCTCTCACTTCGGCTGGCCGAATGTGTGCCACAGGGACACCCTGCTTTCCCTTAACCTTGCGTAGTCGTTTCTTAGTGCGAGTGTGCTGGGATTGGGAGAAAAGAAATGTGGTAGTTTTCATCAAACAACCCTTAGAGGACTCTCTAGAGATTATTTTAAGGAAGTTTGAAAACGTTTATCGTTGAGCCTTGAGATAGCAAGTGAATCTGCTTTATACCTGTCACGTGAAAATGCTGGATTTATGGGATGAGCAAAGTATTTTCATAAATGTGCAGGAAGAAAGGACAGAGGTTTGAATTCTTTTTCTTTGCTGGAGATTATAACCCACCCCACACTCCCTCTCCCCTGCTGTTCTGGGAGTCTCTGACCTGACCTTGGAAAGGTGCTGGAGACAGAGCAGTGGTGGAGGAGGTATTCTCTGGTCGGTGGATGGTTATGGCTCAGTTCTTATTCCTCGAGGGCCTCGATGATTCTAAAACAGCCAGCTGTCTGCTCTTTCGTGAGGCAGACCTCTAGCCATGCCAGTGTACTGGCCTTTGAGGAGATTTGTTCCAGATCTTAGGTGGGAAGGGTAAAATGTCCCCTCTCTGTCGGGTAGCAGGGCTTAGAATCAGGCACAGGACGAAGCAGCCCACAGCATGGCTTTGTCGATTGTCCTGGGGCAGCTGAGAATCAGTACCTCCCCTCCCTAGCCGCCTGGTTCGGTGCATGCTGGGGCAGACCTGCGTAGGGCAGTTGCTGGCTAGGATTTGAGGGCTCTGGCCCACCCTGAACCCTACTGGATTTGCCACTGAGCACGTGAGTAGCAGTGGCAGCCTGATTTCCGCGATGGCAGTGTTCTCTCACTTGCCCTGTGCGTCTCTGTCCATCTGGCTCTGACGTTCCTCTCTGCTTCACGTCTTTACAAGGCCTTGACCTGTGGATTCTGTGAACAAGGGGCTGCCTTGACATTTTGCTGTGCCTCTCA